ATGTTTAGCCATGTCCTGGAAAGCAGAGCTTCATCACGTCTAACTGTGACTTGGGAAGACAAACATTGTAACTCTGAACATTTCCCACCCTTCCTTCCCCAGCTTTTATTGCTAAGTATGCCACCATATAGTGTAGGACAACCCTCTGGTCAGCTGGGGTCTGCTGTCATGGCTGTGTTCCATTCCAGCTTCTTGCCCACCCCCAGCCTACTCACTAGCAGGGCAGTGCAAGAAACAGAAAAGGCCTTGACACTGGTAAGCACTGCTCACCGATAGCTAAAACTTCACTGTGTTATCAACACTGTTCTGGTCACAAATCCAAAACACAGCACCGTAACAGCTACTGCAAAGAAAGGAAACTCTATCCCAACCAAAAACAGTACACATGGGTACCCCTAAAAACACACCTAAGTTATTCAAGACTTACAACAAATGTTTAAGTGTGTAACAGACTTCCCACTTACAGAAATGTGTTTGTCTTAATTCTTTTTCAACTCTTCCTTAAAATAAATTGTGGCTTTCCGTACTTAAAATGTATTTAAAGATGAAACAAATTCAAATACTTACAAGCTAACTTGATTCAAGACAGCACCCAGCCATTCAAACAGCTCCTCTGTACTGCAGGATTCCTCTGGCTTTCCCTGTAGTTCGTTACTTTGTAACACTGGGCACTGCAAGTCCCTTAATGTGCTGAATGTTATTTTTGGCTTCAGGGCCTCTATTTGGTTTTTTGAAAAGTATGACATCAACGTTGATCCCTCTGCACCTTAACAACACAATACCACAAACAGCTGTTACAAAACTACTAGACAAAAGGAGCACTGACTACATGAAACCATTGTATATGTATACAAGAAAATGCAGTGTGTAAAACTGTTTACATGCTGTCATCTCTGGCAAAACCCATACAATCTTCAGCTACCTTATCTTCTTGGAAATAAAAATTAAGAGTGAGATTCAGCAATTGAACATAGTTCAGTAAATTTACTATTTAATTAGCAAGTATAGATCTGTCAGTATAAAATTCAAGCAGAATTAACTGGGCAAGTAATAAAGTAGACTCATTAGAAAGAAGAATTCAGAGAGTTCCTGAAAAGGAAGACATGAAAGATGCAGGAACACACGTACACTGCTTCCAAACCTAACCTAGACTAAAAACCTAACCTAAGCAAGCATACTGCAAATTCAAAGATATTAACCAACTTCTTTTTGAAGCAGCAAGATAACAGACGTAGAATCAATTCTCCTAAATTTGAAATTCCATATAATGTATTCTGCTTTCATAAAGTAACAATGGGTCTCTAGGAGACCAAGAAATAATACCTTATTCATGAGAAGTCTGAAGTTCAGAACAGTATTTAAATACTGCAGGAAACACATGTACAAACAGAAGAAGTTCAAGAACGGGACAGAGTTCTGTGGAGTCCTTGATCTCTATCCACAGATAGAGACTTTGGAACACAATATTCAAGAATTCCTATCAAAAATTATGGACTGCCTAAATTCCATCAGCCATATTTGTCTCATTAAAGACAATCATTTGGGGGAGTAGAAAAAGGAGGCTAACCTGATTCCTTTTAGTCATCCTTCAAAAAAGGCTGTCCAAGCACCAAAGGGCACAGTGACAAAGACAGGCAGCCACCGAACTCTTGTTAATTTAGTACTTTTATATAGATATATTTAAGTCTGAAGTCTGCTAGAACAGATGATTTTCCTTCAGCCTGTACTTCCTACTGGCATTTGTTAGACTAACAGGTTCAAAGAATGCATAGTATTATCCTAGAATTCTTAGTCAAATGCAAAAAAATTCTACATTTTAAATGTCTGCTGCATATGGAAGCCTCAGCTATAGCCCTAACTTAAGGAAATACCAGAGACTACAGTCAAGACTCCAACAGAACAATTCTACTAGCTACAGCACAGCTTTCCATGTCAACAACCACCAGACACACTGTCAAAGTTTTCTGGAGACCAGTCAACTTCAGCCAATAAACATTCAGAATTGTCATACAAATTGCAGAAATAGAAAGAGAAGAAACGACTGTTTTCTCTCTGTCACTGAAGACATGAGACACACCATATTCCCTTTTTCTGTTCTTCTTGGTGCCAGAACTACTAAGAAAAAAGGGTATGAAAACAAGAAGTACTGCTTTTGGAAAGTGACACAAGTATTTATAGGTTTGCAGCACTGCTGGCCATAGCAAGAAACACCAGTTATCAGAAGGAAGGCTGAACACAGAATGTTCACGGAGGACATGGATTAGCGTAACAAATACAGCTCTTTTCCCCTTCCAGCAGAATACACACAATGACTCGTGTCTATTAATAAAAAGCTATAAATGTCTTTCATGTGTTATGAGGACAAGATTCCTGCACAGAAAGGCATGCAGATTTAACTCCATATTCAGGAAATGATTGACCTTACCCCTTTTTTGGATATAAGAAAGTGAGGAAAAATGAATGCTATTCTTCCTGAATGCTGCTAACACTGGCAGCAACAAACCTAAGAAACTTACTGGCCCTAAAGGCATTTTGCTCTCTGCCTAGGATCAATAAATCCAAGCAAGCTGAGCCTGAAGATCCACCACCTCGGCTGGGTTTATGTAGCAACAGTCTTAACTATGATTCTTTCCTGAAGACAACTGCTGTATGACAAACAAGGAAGGGTCCTTATTGTACAACAGAACTTAAAAAGGGGGAGGGGAAACATGAAGAACTAAAGTGAAACATGGACACCACTAAAGGATCTTAGAAGCAGCTTTAATTCCTGAGATCAGTTAACTCCCTGTCAGACTTGGTCCTGAAGAACCAGGAGAGTAACAACGTAAGAAGCAGATGGGAAAACATTCTTGGGGACCTCTCTAACATCCCTTCTCACTAGCGTGGAGACTCAAAGCAGAACCGCACTAAAAGCTATACAGCTATGATGAAGAAAACCAATTTTTTCTTTTTTTTTTTGCAGTACAGACTCATGCAGTTTTTGACAATTCTATGCAAATACTACATATCCCTAGATACAGCCAGTTCTGAGGTAATACAAGGAACTGACGACTTTGGAAAAGGGCCCTCAGAGGAAGAACAGTATTTGCATCCACAGGAAAAATAACGTAATTAACAAACAGTACATAAACAAATACTAGAAGAAAGGTGATTTGAGACAATGAAATTTCTTATAACAACAACCTCGTACTCTGCTCCAGTCTCTAACAAGTGCTTGAGAAAAAAATGATAAAAAGGGACTGTGTCCGCATCAGCGTACACAGAACATGATGGAAATAGGAACTCTGTACATGTCCTACAGCTACTGATGAAAGTTCCCCGTCTTAACTACTATACCGAATATATAACTTACATGTATTAATAACAAACTCAAAAAACGTGTATTTTTAACATAACAAAAGGTGAGGCGGCACTATGAAACAGGCAAAGTTACCCTAGAAATCCAGGGCAACCCATAGACATGGAAATGATGTAACTAATTTATCTACTACAAATCACTGTTGTGTTCCTGACTGAAGTGTTCTGCTGTTCAGTAACACACACAGCCCCAAACAAATAAACAAAACAAATCAAAAAACCCACACGCAAACACATTTTAGTCTAACTTTTCCCTCCGCTAAAAATGCATCTGGACAATCACTACAAAAGAACAGTAAACTAAAAATGTTTGGATTTCATGTCAGTTAGATTTTACTTCTACATTTAGTTCTTATTACCTGTATTATACCAAGCCAGTAGGAAGTCAAATTCTAAAGGTTTCTTTTCTTTTAAGGCCCAAAGCACTCTGTTATGTTTCTTGCTATCAGGGTGAAAGCCAGAATCAGTCAAGTCAATAGTTATAACTGCAAAAATGTACAAAAGCAACTGTTAACTGATTGAAATAAATATTAACACTAAATTCATTAAGAATCATAGCATGGTTTGGATTGGAAGGGACCTTAAAGACCATCTAGTTCTAATCCCCCTGCCACCAGCAGGGACACCTTCCACTAGACCAGGTTGCTCAAAAATTTACCATATTAAAAAGTTCCAAAGAAATCAAGGAACAGTAAACTTCCTTTTCACATATACAGCATCTTTACAACTTTATGCAAATATGACTCATTATGTAAATAAACATTTACCTCCTGCTGTCCTTATTTTGATATAATCTGAAACTGCCTTCTAGTGACTGAAGGGACAGATTCCCTTTGTAATGGCACTGACAGAAATCCCAAACCAGCACCTTTGAAATACCTTGGTAATTATGCAAGATATTAGCAGTAAAAAAAGCTAGAATTTCTGACATCAAAAGCCACATATACAACGATGACACTTCTAAAACTGTTGAATTGGTCCCAGGATAAAGTTACATTTATTTTTCAGATGGAAATTTCATGATACATTTTACTTGACAAACTGAATGGTAAAATGATGTCCCATTTTGCCAAAATTCTTATTCTTGATAGCAAGTTTCCTCCTCTAAAGTTTTATTTACTACCTATCAACTACTGCAAATTCTAATACATTTGAGATGGCATTATTTTGATTATTTACAGAAGAATAATAGTAACAAAAATCACAATGAAAGATCTGAAATAAGTACTGTTAATATAAATAATACTTACTATATCTCATTACTTTTTTGCCAGAATACTTAGAAGGGCGACCTTGCAGTCCAAGTTCCTCATAAGTATCCTTATCCACCGACAGAATTAGATTTCCTATAAATAACACAAACTTTAATACAAACAATCTTCTACTTAGTTCCCTTTGAAGTCTTCTGAGAACCCTATACCTTATACAAAGTTAGCTTTGGATCAGTGGTATTACCAATGTATTCCAAACTCCCTAGCTCCATTTAAATGGATTACCTGATTAACCATTAGAAAGAAAAAAAAAAAAGAAAAAGAAAAAAAGTGTTGTAACTCGATTACTCTTTATTAAAGAGATCTTATGAACTAGAATGAGACGTGTGTAATGTTATTCCTGAGATATCCGTACTTTTTATTGTACTACCTCCCTCCATTGCTCAATCTTTCCTCCACTTGTCCCCTAGCATTTGCTGTGTCATTGGTTGAACACTACATCACACCTGACTGATTTAGTAAACATTCATGTACACGTTGCTCAACTAAACATACAAAAGCAGTTCCTCCAACTCCAGTGGGACTACTCGCACTGGGTAAACTATGCTTATTAGCAATGAGCTGATACGTGCTGCAACAACTCCACTTCCATATTCATAAACCAACTCTGGCAGATGCCACTTGGTACAAAATTTCACACAGATTTCTACTACTGTCTTTCAGTTCTACTGTACAAGTAACAGTATAACACAGAATACAAACAAATAAGGCTGTTGCTGAAGATTTCAAATGGTGACATCACCAGGAACTGTAGCACTGTCTCTGCATTAATTGTGCATAGCTTGTAGTAACTCTATCATACAAACTCAGTCACTGTCTCCATTTAGCCAGGACTGTGCTAACAGAGCACATAAAAGAATTCCTCCTTTGAACAATCTGAATTTACTTATGCCCTGATGGGCACCTGGCATATTACAGCGCCTGAGGCTAGAGGGTTGGTAGACCAATTTGTATTTCTATTACATATGATATAATGTTAAACAGAAATAAAGACATATTTGAAGCCCAAATAGCTTCATCAGTTTCTCTGCATGTAAAATACCACCTGACATTTTGTCATAAAACTGTGATGGAACTGAAACAGAGCATTTTAACATATTACGTAAATCTCAAAAAATAAGTGTTTCCAAGCAGTGTTGAATTTTTTTCTTTTCTTGGTTTTTTTTTTTTTTTTTTTTTTAACAAATTCTGTTGTTAAGACCAGTAGGAAATAATAAGCTGGAATGCAATGTTTTCACAAAAACAATCCTCTGTAGCATTCGCAATTACAGTTGAAGCATTGACAACTGGATACTATATGTAAGTGAAGCTGGTTTAACAGCATGGATGAAAAAAAAAGTTACAATGATTCAAACGTATTTCTAGTTAAGTTGGTAAGTATAACCACCATTACATTCTCCAGGTTACATTAAAAGAAAAATCCCCAAACCATAATCAATATGTATGACTAAAAACAAAACAAAAAAACATACCGTTTGGTAGCAGAGCTGCAGTATTATCTTGATCAATTTTTGTTTTATGGGTAAGTGCATAGCATGAACCTTTAATAGTAAAGCAGAAACCCATGAGATTAGAGTCTCCAATGAGACATGACAATATGAAAAATTCACCTCAAGATACACTAACATGACAAATACCATTTGAATCGCTCTAAACCCTTGTGTTTTCATCAGCTTTCCTTCACCCTCTCAAGCAAAAGAGCATTTTATTATTACTTCTGTGAACTATAAACCTTGAATTGGCATTGTTTTTACCTGTAATACAGATAACGTTACCAATATACCCCAATATGAAAGCACTTCTTTTCTACTTGCAATTTTCCCCATTCAGCAAATCGAAACCCCCTTTTTTTTTCCCCAGACACATTGCTATTATCGGTTCACACAAAGACAAGGGGCAAGATGCTCACATTTCTATTTTGTTGTATTATCTGCCACAACCAATTGTTTTTCAAAATACAAGCATCTCACTGAGAAAGGGAGAAGGGACCAGATTTCTGCAGGAATTGGCATAAAGATGAGGCGTAGAAGAAATGGGTGTGAGGACGCATGGAAGTCCTCTTGATAGCTGGCTTGCAGAGTTAAGATGGCATAGGGAGAAATGAAGAGGGAACAATCATTAAATTTTTGGACCCAGTGGGTGCAAACAAATGTTGACACAACATGCAGCAGAAAAAAGCAGATAAAGAAATTGATACAAAATTTTCTTAGTACTTTTCCTTCCCCTTCATTTAAAATAATAAATAAATAGATTTTTCTGTGTTATGAAAAAGAAATGTATTATTACTGCATCTGTCATGTTCTGATTTCCTTACCTTTCTTCACAAAAGCATCAATGAAATCATGAGCGACCAATTCATGAACTGGTAAATTCCTCACCAGGTAGTACTCTCCAACATCCGCAATAGTGCTTTTCAGCACTTCAGGTAGCAAGCCACATTCAGGGATCAAAAAAGACACCTATTAGGAAAATATCTGTAATGTAAATCATATGCTAAAATCTGTTCTAGAAGAAAACCAAGAAATACAGAATAAAAACTCTACTTTTCAAGGACATCAATATACTATACCAAAATGAGATGAAGAAAGAATAGTATCAGGCTATCACCTTCAAAATGTATCAATATGTACAAAGTCTCTAGGTTCTCTAAATACATTATTTGGGTTTGGGTTGTTTTTGTTTTTTTGTTTTTTTGCATTTTACATGCTATACAATAGCATTTGAGGTGTTAAGTGAAGGCAAGACTTTACACAGCATGAGTTAAGATCTTGTTTCACATCATTATAAATTTAGCTTGATGTTGCACTGGAACATTTCCTTCAGCCCTTGCTGCAGGAAGCAGTTGTAACTAAAAATGTAGGCTAAGCATTTATGTAATCTCAGTGGAAAAGGGAAGACCAAAGTAGAATTTCAACTAGTTTTTAAATCAATGCACTCTCCTGTGTGGAATACTTTGGAGGTCAGAAGAGCGAACAGACCATCAGAGCAAAACTTGAAGATGGGCTTACAAAAAAGTTATAAGGTGTACCTTAAGGCTCTTTCTTCTGTTTAATTTAAGGTAGAAAACTGATTTGCAAAAGGGACAAGCAGCTAGCTTTTCTTACTACAGTCAGCATTTTTGTCTTTTGGTCCCATTGCCCACCTTTAATTGCCCTTTTGTTTAAAACCATTCCTGTATGTGTTTCATAGATCAGTAAAACTCTTAACTTCAGGAGACCAGGAAAAACAAGGTTATTACATGGGCAACTACCATGCTTCCCAGGAACTATGCCCAAGCAGCATAAAGGTCAGTCTCCCTGCTCCTTCTCTCTCCATCCTTCAAACTTTTTTTCCAAAAGCTCTCGGAGAACAGGTTCGCACATCCCTTTGCACACACATGCAAGAGAAGTAATAACTTGACAGGCGGGCTTCCTGTCATGCAAGTAAAGAGCTTTCTAATTAGCTCCCGAAAAAAATTACTAAGGAAATGGCAAGAGGATCTGACTGGAACTTGCAACAGTCGAAGAAAAGAGAGCAAGTGGCAAAAAGTGTACTTTGCACATTAAGTTGTCCAAAACAACGAAGCAGTTGATGACAGCATGATGCGATACTTTGGCAGAGGCAGGGACAGCATAAGGCTAAGGGCTTTCAGGGTACACCTGCTGCCAGGTCCCTCCCTGCGGAGGGACTCCCTCAGCCCCTCACTGCTTGGACTGGGAATTTGTGGGTGCCGCTCCCTTTATGACTTGGTCACAGCACTGACTAAACTGTCACCTCTCCCACCTCTCCTCTTCTAGTTAGTGTCCGCATGGTCTTCCAACTTTCGAGGTGTTGTGCACGGAGACCACCAAACCCTGTTGGCCAATTTCCTTTTCCCTTTTTCTTCTCTTTCCCCCCAAAACAGGCACACGGGCCACCTGTGACAAGGTTGGAGGAACCTTCCAGAAACAACCTGGCGCGGGGGGCAGGGCCAGCAAAGCGCCCCGTTAAGGGCTGCCCCGCGGAGCCACCGGGACCCTCCCGTCCTAGGCGCTCCGGTC